GAGCTGACAAGGATATATTGAAGTCAAGAGAGATAGAGGAAAGTAGCACATAACCTAACCTATGTAACAATCTTGTGTAAATGGTTGATAGAATAGGAATTAAGAGAGATAACAAAAAGTCAAACTTTACTAAGGCCTACAAAGTACAGGGGATTTATGGAGAACAATGATCACCCATATTCTGAAGGGGCATAAAGACACTCAAACATCAACAACTTTAAAGTTACAGTAAAACAAGAAACAGGACTTTCCAATCTAATATTTTTTTCATTTTAATTTCAATTCTGCAGCCACTAATAAGCATTGTGGATTGGAAATAAAAGAAAAATAATGCCAAAATTCAATAATTGACAATATAATTATTTAATAATTTTATTATCAGATAATTTTAATAAAAGATTTATTTTCACTATAGAAATTTTCTTTATCTTTTATAGTTAACTCTGTCCTTTTTTCAGTTTAATAGAGCCTAACAAAAAGCCATAATTTTAACTTGATGCCTGTCCATGTTTAAATTTTTTTTATTTTATTTTTGCAAATGTCATCCTGAATTGTTAAAGGTTGAAGATTTGGTATTTGGCCTTTCCTCTAAAATAATAGCTACATTGGATACAATGTAATATTTGGATATTTTAAAGTGTATCTTATTAACTGACAAATTTAATAATTGCATTTGTATTAGTATAAAAACACTAATACAAATGCAATTATTAAAGTTATGAAAGATCACATTAAAATTCAAATTTGAAATTTTGTATCTTTTAATTTGCGATTTAAATTATTGTTTTTTCTATATTTTACTTTTATAAATTATAATGAAAATTTTTCAGATCACTTGATATTATGTATTTTAAAGCTTCAGTATTCTGTGTATTGTTTGAATGCTGACAATATTTAAACTCTAATCTTACATATAATTGGTAAAGAACTAATTGCAGAGAATTATTAGCTATTAACATGCTGTGAATATAGCTGATTATTGGCAAAGAAAAAAAATCTTTTTGAAACTATTTTTTTGGCAGAGAAGTCTCAACAAATAAAATCTATTAGATAATTCAGAGCATGGAATCAGAAGCTGGTATTCATAATTATCCAATTTAGATTTCTGTCTATAAAATTAAAACAATATCTGAATGTTTTAAAAGCATATGAAAGCTTGTATAGTAAAAAAAAATCTTGTAACACAATCCCAGGCCATGCTGTAAAATAAAATGAGGCAAAGTTACTAGTTTCTTTATTTAATCACTTCTGTCTTTTTACTAAATGAAAATCTGTCAAAGTGATTAATGATTGCATAAGGTAATTTAATCTTGATATTCTTTCATTGTTAAACTAACAATACGATATACAATGAAATGAATATTTGCCCATGATTTAAAGATTACAGACTTGGTTTATATTGAATTTACAATTTAAACCTTGCAGTCTACAATTTTCTTTTGTCCCTTGATGTGATGAATACCATAGCTAGGATTTGTTTGTAATAAAATTTTTGTCAAAAATATTTCAATAGTTATTTCTGTTTGTATTGTTAATGTTCAAATATTGGATTATATTTTTCAGAAACATAAATAGTTCACTACTAATGTTAACCTCCATATTTAGTATTCAATCTAATTGTATAATTATCAAGTGTTTATAAGAGAAAAAAATTCAGATCAAACAGAACTTTACAAACATTATTTTTTTCAGGGATGTCTTATTTTTAGATAATTAAGACGGTTATATATAAATGTCAACTGTTCTTGTTGGGGAAAATGGTAATATTTTTTTCTATTTTGACCTGTCGTTTCTTTCTGAGTATTTATGAATATAAATTATTTTAAATTCATTTTTTATTCTGGACATTTTTCATTTCAAATGTCTTTTAATATATGCTCATTTGAATGAAACCTGCTAGATTTAATGTTTTGAAAAAAAAAAAAAACTTTGATCTAAACAATGCCACACTTATTAAAAGAGAAAATAACTTACATAAAGTTCTTGAGAGTGCCACTATTGAATCTTGTCAAAGTGTAAATCTATGCACTGGATTTATTTCAGATATCTCCTTTCCTAAAAGATATGCTCCTTTCCCAAGGCATCATACATGATCATGAAAATTTAAGAAAATGGGTAAATCAAAACATTCTATTATTTAAAATAAATAAATACATGAATAATTCATTGAATTAAAATAAAATAATAAATAATAATTACAGAAATAATAAAAAAATGACATAACTATATATAGAAAAATAAGAGAAAATTCAACAATTACAATATTTACTCACTTTCATTTATTAGGCATTAAATTACATCACTTAGCATCCTCTATAGTTTACCTTGACTTTCACAGCCTGAAGAATATAAGTGTTCTTAAATTGAAAAAAATTAAAAAATCCAACAATGTTTTTACTTCTGTTTATAAATAAATAATAAAATAAAGTACAATAAAAAGATTTTTTTAAATAAAAAGTAATAAGATAAAAAAAAAAGTATTTTCAATACATAGATAAATATAGAGAACAAATTTAGAATATAAATATAGAAAGATAAATATAAAAAAGATACACCTACTAATTAAGAACTTTTAGTCTGAAGAGATGAATATAAAAATATAAAATAATTTTTATTTATGCTGGATATTATTATTATAATTTATTAGACTAAATAATTTGAATTTGTGATGACTATTGCTGCCTAAAATAACAGGTTCTATTGCTTAAATTGCGGTAACTCTTTCAAGTCTGTTTACACATCATATCACCCGATGTACAAACTTGTTCAACCCTTTAAGAAAAAAATTCTTGGCCAATTCATTCTATTTTAAGTTTACTACTATCCCTTCATTTATTTCTTTCTTCTTTCCTTTCCCTTCTTCCCTTCACTCTCTCTTTCCCTCCCTCTTTCCCTCTCCCCTCTCTCTCTGTTTTATATTTGAAAATCTGTTATTTTTCTTACTTCCTCTCCCCCTTTCTTCTCTTCTCTCTCGCTTTCCTTTTCTATTAAGCTAGTATATCTGTCTGGATGAATTATCTCCATTTATTAAGAACCTTCAATCTGAAAAGATGAATATAAAAATATTCACAAAATAAATTATAACCAAAATGGATCTTTTAAGGTTTCTTCTTGAAATATTATTATAATGCTCTGTAGTTTACATTGACCTCTCTTTGGATTAAAATCCTCCTTGGAATTATCCCTACCAGTCACAAACTTTTACATTGCCAAGATTGTAAAATATTGTATGCAAATATAAATAGTTTTGATTAATATAACATTAATTCAGTAGAGACTCTAGGTCATCAATATTTTGTTTGGGTGATTAGAATCTTTAACAAAATATACAGTTGCTATAACTTAGATGCTAAAATGATTCCTTTAACTAAAATATATCATTTTTAAAAATCTCTGTGCATGAAATTAAAAAAGACATTTTGGTATTTTAATATTAATTATAATAATTCTATAAAAAAATAAACATTTATTTTAAAAATTTTAACCAAACATGTAATAAAAAAAGTGAGGACAAAGTCTTTGATATGTTTGTCTGTTTATTGCCCCCTTTCCATTTTTTTATTGTTTTATAGCCTGGTTATCAAGTCACTAATAGTAGAGACAGGAATAATTAGCTGATATCATATTTTCTCAACTCTACCCCAGTCACACTTCTCGCTCCAATCCTCCAGTCAATGAGTTAAGGCTGCCACTTTCTTTGATTTTCACTGACTTTAAATCTGGCTAAATTTAATTTGGCCTTTTTCAATTGATACCTTCCACTAAAAAACCTTATACTGTAAAGAATAAATTATTTAAAATGGACATTTGAAAGCAATGTTGAAATAATGTTCTTTGAAAATCAGGGCATACAAGTCATTAGAGATTTTTAAAATATTATTTATAAAATTAAAGCAAGAAATACATTGCTTATTAAGTATGATAGGGCTGAGATCTATGTGACCCAACTAGTCATGTTAATTTTATTTCATTCTTTTTTTTTTTTTTTTTTTTTCACTTTCTTTGTTTTTTCTTTCTTTATTCTGAACAATATCCACAAAATGTATTTTGGTCAATATTTTGCGGCATGGAGTTAAAACCATTAATTTTTAGATCCGGCTGAAGTCAAGAATGAAAATGACGCACTATGAAAGATTTTTGTTGCTTTCAAATAGATATACTTGATTGTTGACTCACTCGGGCTAAGCCCAACAGGCCTGACCTCTATTGTCACCACTGCATTAATTTATAGATATTATTATACAAGATAGATTAGAAAGTTGATTTGACTGTACATTTATTTTAAAAAAAAAAAAAAATGAAGGAAAATATAATAAGAAATGAAAGTCACTTTAATATGTCTACAAAAAGACTTATGGAAAATCTATTCAGACTGATAAAAATTAAAAATGTAGAGTAAGAAATAAAAGAAATGGATTTCATCAGTATTAAATCCAAAGTGGCCAATGATAAATATCTTCTGTAGAATAGTCTGCTGGCTTATATGACTGTCAAAATTCTACTATTAGTTGCATGTATAATTTATATATAATAATATGTATTTATTTTTAAAAGTCCAAGCACCTTTTTAGTAATTATATTCTTGGGAATTAATTGAAGTTTTTAAGATAGACTATGGTTAAACTCTTAGAATTTCTATTAATCTTGTACATTCCAAGATTAGCAGTATTTGTGGGAAACTGTCAGCTATAACAAATATAGAATTTGATAAATACCTATAAGGTTTATTTCTCTTTTTAACAATTACAAGTTTGACTTACAATTAAAGATCTTTCCTTATTAGAAACACTGAAGCCATTATACTTAGTTGGCAAGTATCATTGGCAACTAAACTGTTTACTATTATGATTGATAAACCTTAATATTACTGAGACTAGCTGGAGTTTTTTTTTTTAATTTTCTTCTATTACCATTTTGATTCACTTAAATTGATTTTGCAGTTTTACTTCCATTTGCTATGCATAAAAATGAATTCTTCTTGGTTTTCTTTTATATACTAGGTATGATGGAGATCTGGCCTGACCGTTGTACAAGCTTAGCCAAAAAAGAGCTCCGCTATGCTGGAGTGTTTGGAGTTGCAGCCTGGCTCTGTGGCACAATCTTTATTGATAGACTCAATCATGAGAAAGCACTGAAGACAATGGTGGATACTGCCAATACTATTAAAGAAAGAAATGTAAGAATTATCTACTTATATTTCATTTACACTTCACTATATTGACATTTTTAATTAGAACTTTTAGTTTTGTACTATCTGGACAAGAATTACAATGAATGGAGGTTTATGATAAAAAGATTTTTCTTAATTTTGTTTAATAATTCTGAAATTAATTGATAACTTCTGATAATATTTTATCTGACTTCAAATTTTATATATACTATTAAAATATAATTTTCATTAAAAAAATTGTTAATTGGTTTAAGACTGCTTCAGGCTTGTGATCATTTTTATTATTTAGCCATACAGTCCTGGAAGATTTTTCAATATTTCTTATTTTTAGTAAAAGATAAATTCAACATAATTCATTGACTAAAATTGAATACTAAATATTGAGAAATACTCTTGAAACAGTAGGTCTACAAATATCAGCTGCATTATCAATGATGTACTTGTATGGCATTTTACCTGCATTCAATGTTTGGTTTGTGTAAATTGGTTACATGCCTTTCTTTCTATTATATTTTCAGAATTATTTTCCTAGAATTTTGTTCTGTTTAAGTTGCTTATATCATTCCTGAATTATATATATATATAATTTTGCAAATGATTTTTTTTATATACCAGTGTTCACTGTTTCCCCTTTTATAGATTCGCTTGTACACATTCCCTGAGGGTACAAGAAACCGTGATGGACACATGTTGCCATTCAAGAAGGGAGTATTTCATTTAGCAGTCCAATCACAGGTGAACTTAATTACTTTTACTTATCTGAATATTTCTATGTTTATATTTTTTTTTCCTCCAGAATATTTTATCCCAGTATCAACTGTTATAAAAACCTATATAACAGAATTCTGCTCTCACATAGTAGCATATATTAGGTTATTAGAGATAATCTTGGAAATTTTTTTTTTTTTTTTTTTTTAGACTACTTTTAAAATCTAGTATCTAATTATTTTAAAATCTAGTATCTAATTACAGCTTCTGAACATCATATTTTATAAAAACAAACATTAATAAGAGACATTTGTTGTGAAAATTCCAAATGATCAGTTCAAAGATACAAAATTATTAGATTATAAGTGTAGGGTTTTACTTTTCCCTACTCCCCTCTTTTGACCTTTGGAGAAATGTCTTTTTAATATTTTATATCTATAAATTTGGTAATTTTGAAAAGTATAATCTTTACAGTAATATCTTATATTACACTCAGTATTTGGGAAGTGAAATTAAATGGATTTTAACAGAACTAATGTAATATACACAAGTTGTTTACACTGACCAATGGTGTTCTGTCTTGTAGTCATAAAAAAACAAATTGCCGTTTTGTTTTTGAGAATTCTTGCTTTATTTAAAATATTTAATGGGGAGAGAGAGAGAGAAAACAAGTAACAATAGTTCTTCATCTTAAATTATCTGATCATAATCAACAATGTGTGTTGTAGTACCTAGAGCACCAGGCACTTGGTAGGCAGAGATAAACAAATGAATGGTCCTCAAAGGTAAATACTGCAGCAACTTATTGCTCATTTTATAGATAATTTCCATAGTGAAAGTCACATCAGCATATATGCTACTGAGTTGCCCATGTATCTTCCTTTTTAATGACATTAGTTTTATTTTGTTGATGAAGTAGAAATTGGTAGGAAGAAAAATCAGATAAAATTTTTGTTTGTGAACAAGGAGAAAGGTGTTTTAAAATATTTATTGTAATAGGATTTCTTTCATACTTGTAGTGATTTGCATTACTAATATTTATAAGTTTTATTATTTAAAGATACTTTTTTTCTTGAGTATCTTAATGAGTTTTAATATTATTTGCTAGGTTTATTTACACCCAAGTAACTGTTAGATTTATAAATATTTACTTATATTATTATTACTTATCTATTGTAAAAATAAATCTTCTTCACTATATCTGTTGTGCTATTATATTTTTAGCATCAGAATTGTCCTCAAAACCAATTTTCTTTATAAAAAGATTAAGTTGAACTGCATATGTGCTCTAATGTAAACTATGAAGAAGATTATTATTTATGTTACAGTTTTAAGTTAGTGCCTTTGACCAATATGGTATATGTTGCTATATGAGTGGAGGAATTGCTTGTATTACAGAATACAAGTTTGAGTTTTGTTCAAATTTCTGCAATTTAAGTATGAAGCTGGAAACATCAACTGAAAATGTGATAAATGTATATAAATAAAACATCAATTTATAATTGCTGATTAGTTTTTCTCTCTTAATTTTGATGTTTTGTAACTCTCTTATACATATTCTATAACCATTAAACAAGATTAAGCCTCAGGTAAAATTTGAACGTCCATCCATTATTATTTGGGAACCTATATTTCTAAGATAGTGTTGTTACTGGTTGGCTTATGAAAACTTTCTAGCGCTAAAATACTTAATTATTATTTATTAATCAACACTATCAAATTTATGAACAAAAAAGTTTTTTTTTAAAAGTTGAAATTAAGCATAATGTGGGAATATTTTGTTAGGTTGTTTGGTATCTGGGTTTCAAGTTTGGGAATTCTGCCTTGTCCCTTAAGGGTGATAGACCATATCCTTAGTGGTGACATGCTTCCTCTTAATATACTCAGTGTTGGTGATATCAACACTGATAATATTCTTAAAGAACTTTCAGAATGCTATCGGCTTCTTTGTCGATGAGGGCAGAGATACGCTTCATCCCACCCATGTGGGTGTGACAACAAATAGATGGACACTATCATAGAACACTTCATGATTATGCTTAGCATCACGTTTTTCCCAATCCTTTGCCATGATCAGTTTATGTTGATCAACTAAAAAATCCAACAAAGATTATATTTTCATGTCTAGACCTACTCCCTAAACTGTGGCCAGTGGTGTGGGAGAGAATTAATTTGAGAGCTGAACTGCTCACTGCTTGAAAACCTCAATTGTACACAATTATTTTCTTTCCTGATTGGCTTATCAATATCCATCTAATCTTTTTGAACTTTCTGTTGTACTTTGCTACCTACCTAAGATCGACAATAAACATAATATTTCTTCAGTTTTCAAAACCTTATTGTACCAGTGATTCTTGTGAAATAGGCTCTCCAGATAAAATAAGTTCTCTCTGCTAATGTACTCATCCTGTACTTATAAAGTCCTGGTTAATAGTTTTTATCACTATAATTTCAAGTAAAATAACCCTAAATTAAAACCGTCACTGTTACCTTTGTCTTTCAAAGAAACAAAAATCTTCCTCCTGGAAATGACTTTGACATGGTAAAGAAATGTTACTTTAACTTGTAATAAGTAATCAACCCAATTTGAATTGATTCTAAACATTTAACCAAATTCATATTGCTGTAATTTGTCACAAAAAATAATGCATTTATAAGTATTGATTCTATTTGCCAACTGTACTGTTTATGGATACACATTTAAGGCTCCTTTGAAAAGGTTGAAGTAGAATATATTGTTTATATAAGGTATTTTTATATTTCATTTTTCATTATTTTTATTATAATTTCTCTAGAGATTTTAATTATGAATTAGAATATAAATTATCCTAATTCATTCTCATATTCTAATTTTACCCTTATAATTCAATCATATAATTGTCCTTTTCAGATTGCTTGATAGCAGAATCAACTTTGCTATTTAAATTCTGTATGCATGAATAGGGAAAGTGTAAAAACTCATAGTAGTGTTTATGAAAGAAATCAAGCTTTTACCAATCTTCAGCAATTGAAAATTAATTATGCTTAGCTATGGGATTACAAACTACCATTTTATTAATTTTCATTCACCAATGAAATGTGTGGGTGGAAAACAATAGTCATTACAGTTTTTTCATAGAAGCCATTCTTATAAAATTTTCAAAAAGCAGAGTATAAATATTTGGTCACCCAGGTTTAAATTCTATTGTTTTAGAAACCAATCAAATGTCTGCTTAGAGAAAGATTTTTAGAATTAATACGACATCACACATCACCACAGTCACTGGGCAAATCCATGGTTGATCCCTACAGTCAGCTTTGGAGATGGTTGTCCTGATCCTCAATCCCACGCTGCCCATGTTGTGTTTGTTTTAGATCACAAGGTGAGTGAATGTTGAGTTGTATACCCAACGTCACTGATCCAGCAGCTCTGGTGAGATGACGCCACAAGAAACAAAGTAAGAGACAGCTGTGTAACACAACAACTTTATATCAAAGGTTCATACAATGAACATTCTGCTCACTAAATGAACAACATGCACCTTTCCTCTTAATACCCCGTGATACTATGTTTAGCCATACTTGGTAAACTGATACAAGGCTGAAGTCTGATTTCTTCCACTCCATGATTTATTTGGGCTGATTATTCAGTTGTAATTGGTAGCCTGGAACAAAGCTGGAGTCTAAGTTCTTTCTGCAGAAGTTGTGTGGGGTTTGGCAAAGTGGGTCTTGAATCAACTGGCAACATGTCTCTCTTGCAAACAGCACCCTGAACTGTCTTGTTCCTTTTTCTTTGTCTCTCGCTTTCCTTGTCTGTATTTATGAACCCTTGCACAAACCCAGCACAGAGCATGAGGTGGTTGGGGGTTCCCGGGGAAACCCCAATATCTATACAGAGCCTTGCATTGTCTGATCCTGGGAAATTGATTGCCTGACCAAATTTGGGGAGATCTTTCTCTTTGTGGTGGTGGCAGACTATCAATCTGCCCAACTCCTTCCATCTTGTGTGAGTGCCTCTCACCATCACTGCCGGAAGGGTGCAGGGAATTCCTCTGCCTTCCTTGAAACTCTACCTTTAGCTCTCTCTTTGTCTCCTGATCAAACCTGTTCGTGGTCTAGCCCAAATTGCTAAATTCAATTATCATCCAAAATTTCCATCAGCGGGGAATTCTTATCGCGTCATTGTGGGCTGGTTACATCTGAGATTTGTTGTTTGTCGCTTTCCCTCGCCAGCTTTTTGGTCAACAAGTGACAAAAAGAGCCAATTTCTTTATTTTAATAAATTTTATCACATCGCAGATGAGAAAAAAATAATTACAATTCTATTTGTTTCCCATTAAAAACATGCCAGTCTTAAAATCCAAGTCTTTATCCACTGACTGAATTTTGGTTAGATTCATTTTTAACCATCATGGGTAGCCTTCCTATTACCCACTTTGTTCAACAAGTGACCCATTGACGTTCTATCCTGTTCTCTTGTCAGCACTTGAGGTTGTTAAAATATAATCTATTCTTTCACACGGGGTCGATTGGACACTTAAGAAAATACCATCGCTTAATATTAATTTGATCAAAAAACAGATGGCTTCTACGCTAGCTGTCAGTGGCATCACAACACTGGGGTGGGGAGAGAAAAGAAGACAAGTATCCTTTTCTTTCATTTTCCTTGTCTTTTTATTAGTATATTTTCAGTCTATTAAAAAATAGGGTTTTTCTTGTTTTTGCTATCAGTATAGTTTCAGTTTAATGAGAACATTGGTTTTCTTTCTTGTTTTCCAGTTTATTTTGAAAGCAATTTCTTAATAGTGTCACATTAAAAAAATGTAAATCTAGTAATAAAAGTATTCAGTGATTGTATTCTTTATCATCTTATTGTGCAGCTGTCATAGATGGTTATTCACTGGTCTCTCTCATGTTTCATGATTGCCTGAACTTGAGCTAGCAGACCAGATCTTAAGCCATTTTTAGCCAAAGTAACTTCTGGCGTATAATAGTAGCTTCCAATGCTTTTTTCATGTTGCTGACTGATATAACTGCTGAAAAACCTA